AGCAGTATTTGTTTCCTTTGCTGAAAGTAAATATTAGTAACTTTGGATTACTTATGAAACAGGTAAAAGACATTTTTTGACTCAAGAGCTGAGAATGTTACATCTTGGCCCTCTACCTTTTTTTCTTAAAGAAATCCAACAATTACATCTGATAAGGGCACATTAAGGTTCTGTATGCCCATCAATCTCCCATCAGCAAATTACATTCCTGTCAAATAAAATGCTTCTTTTTTAGCTTTCTCCCGAAAGCTCACATTCTGAATGTTGATCACCCATGCATTTTGCCATGAAGCTTTGCAATGTCTAGAAATATGACATTCAATGACAACTTTCCCTGTGTTTTAAATGGTCATTTAAAATTTTCAACTATGAAGAATAAAATTATGTGTATGTACATATATGTTTGTGTAAGCATTGATAACAACATCGAAGTGACATAGAACAGAAAATTAAAATTCTATATATTTACTCAATATTTAATTTTCTAATTTGTGGTTTCTGAATAACTGATTAGGTTAATCCTCAAGATGTTTCTCTTTATTTTAATTTCATGAATTTATTCATTTATTCACTAATCAATATTTTCCGAATCCTATAATGTAGAAAACATTTTATCAAATGCAAGTTTGTGCTGAAATCTTATGTTTTCAAAGCACTCTAATTGTTAATTACATAGAAACAGAACAAAGAAACTCTACAATAGCTATTAAACTGACTCATCAGCAATGGTTACCACTCATTCTGCTCTGCCCTTCAAAAATGATAAATGAATAGAATCATAGATTCTAGGAGCCATATGGCTCTCTAGTTAAGAACATAATGACTGCCCTCTGGCCTCACCTGCGCCCAGCCTGCCATGGTACTCTAAATGCCAGCAATTCTAACTACTATTAGATCTTTTGATAGAATCTACTGTCCCATCTCCTGGAACTCTGCACACACTCTATTTTCTACCTGGAACTTCTTCACTCCCTTCCCTAATTTGCCTTGCAAATGACAACTTAACCTTCAAGATACATTTCAAAATGCCTGTTGGTTGATAACTTATTGAGCACCTAAGTAGTGTGCTTGTAAAGATGAATAAACATGATCCCAAGTGGAACTCACTTTCTATACAGCAAAATATAATCAAAATAAGACACCAACGTTTCATATACTTAGTCCCTAAAGATGTATAAAGCCCTACCTTCATTTTTGCTGTAGCACACAATTTTACAACCAAATTAATATTTATTGACTGTTAACTTTGATTGAAGCATTTACAGAAGACAAACACATTTAAAATCTTATAATCCTCCAAAGTAAATGACCATAGTCTGAGTTTCATACTGGGCTTATATTTTTATATTAAGGCAGAGTGTCATTTTGTTCTCTTACACAAAACAATTGTCATTTTTCTAAGAGAACACATACATTATCTCGGCCTAACAGTATTTATATTTGGAAATTTTGTTCAATGACTAAAATAAGTGATTTTAAGTTATTTTTCTGAGGTTGAATCACTATGAGGAACTGATTCTGAACAAAGTCCAGAACTAGAAATACAAAACACTGAGAAATAGCATGGAAGAAAAAAGCACCTATAGGCACTGCTGTAAGGAATGGGCATGTATATAGAGATACATGTAACCTGAGAGGGAATATAAATCACATGCATTAAAAGGAAAACAATTATTGGTTCACATAGTGCTACAGGAGTTAAAGGTTTGACCAGTAAAGTAAAATTATATTGTGGTGAAAAGAACAATGAATATAATGTAGAAAGCTGGGAATGAGAAGGGCATTTTAGAAGCAGAAGGAAAATGAAGATTGGTGAGGGGTAAGAAAGATACTGAATATAGTGACTTTTTTCCCTCCCTAAGACCGAACTAGAAATTTTGTTTTAGACATAGAGGGGAAATCTGGAAGGTCTGAGCAGCCTGGGACCATGACCAACATGCATGATTTAGATGCCACCTTGGACAAGTAACTGGAAACTGTCAAATGTTCCTCACGAGGTAAGTCAATGTTTTAAGAGGATTGAATTTACTGTGATGTATAAAATGGATTATAATGAAAAGGAATGTTAAGTAGAGACTCTAATGGAAAATGATCTGAACTAGGGTGGTATTAGTGAGACAAAGTATGAGTATTAAGAAAATTAAGAGTAGTGGGCCCTCCCTGGTGGCGCAACAGGTTAAGGTATAGCACTACGAAGCTAGATGCAGCTGCTTCAGTGTGAGTTTGATCCCTGGCCAGGAAGCTGACCCACATGGCACAGCAGACCTCTGCTGTCTCGCCCACTGCTCCACTTAGCAGTATATTTCAGTAGTTCTATCTGTTCTGCTCCCCAGTCTGTCTCTGGTGAATCCTCTCAATGTTCCTGCACCTCTGGCTTGTACCCCAGTTCTGTATGCTTAAATACATAAATCTTTAAAAAAAGATAGAATTAAGAGCAGAACGTGGTAACAACACTGGATGAACCTGAGAAATATAATTTGGGGAGCTTATTTCCAAATTTTTGGACAGTATTGCATTTGGGAAAATTTATATGTATGATAAAAATCAATGGAAATTATTTCAGTAGCTATAAAAAAGTTTCTGAATGTCTCAAATCAATTCAAACATAAATAGAATATCTAATAACTTGAAATATCCATGGAAGACACTACCAAAGATATAAGAATGTTAAGTAAAACTCAATTATATCAAATGTGTTTCAAGTAGAACAGGTCATTATACATTTAATTGTCCATCATTCAGCTTGAACTCATAGATAGAATACATCCACGCATGCACAATTCCTCTATCAAGTTAATTTCTTCAGTAAGCACGGGGACCAGCACGAGGCATCATAAAACACAGGCAGGCATGTCATTAGGTTCAGCAATGAAGAAAACCAGTCAGCTAAGTGCCTGCTTCTCATATTTTGCTTCTCAAGTTTCGGGCAGCTTAAGGAGGGGATGTGCTCACTGTGATCACAAGAAGCCCTTCCTGTTCCCTTCATGAAGGCAGAACTAAGGAGTAGAGGAGGAGCAGGAACTGCATAGTGAAGAAAACCAGAGTAATTACCATCTTATTCTAGTCAACAATTGAAATATAAATTTCAGGGTGCATTTGCATGCAACCACAGGATATTTAAAGTATATTACACAGTATTCACTTCCAATTGACTGCACAAGGTTAACAGATCTTCTCCCCAAAGCACTGTAAATCTGGACAAATAAAACTAACCATTTCCACATTCTAAAAGATGGCCAAATGAATATAAAAGACTTTGAGGTTCTACTCATGAAAACTACGGAACTTCAAATATAAATGGTATAAATCACATTCAAAAGATTAAAAATTGAAATTCTGGATTCTGGTTCCTCATGCAAGGCACTTGAAATCACCAGTAACAAGTAAAAAGTTAAACAGACTGAAAATCAACACACCTTCTTAGATCCTTAAGAGAGGGGAAGACACAGAAAGAAACACTAACCTCAAGATTCAAAAGAAAGAAAGGTAAATCCAGAGAGGCATGGATAACTGGAGAAGAGTTGCATGAGAAGAAACTGTCACAGGGAAAACCTGGACTGTAACTTATGAACTGCTGTAGGATTGATGCAGATAAGTCTGAGAGTTAAAAATTCTAGGGGAGCCCAATCACACGATGGTGTCACTAAAGGCCTACTTAAATTAGCCTACTTTATACAGTTCAGCTATCAAGCCATTTATTACCAAAAGACAAAAAAATCTTTTTTGAAGAAACAGAACAACCACCAGTAACAGACATGGTAGGGATGTCAGAATTATTAGAATGAAATTAAAACAACTATGACTAATATGCTATTAGCTCTAATGGACTTTAATGGATAAAGTAGACAGCATGCAAAATAGATGGTTGATGTAAACAGAGATGGGGAAATCTTAGAAAAGGATAAAAAAGAAAGGCTTGAGATAAAAAAAAATACAAACACTGTCTTTGATGGACTCATTACTAGATTGGACAAAGATGAGGAAGATTCTCTGGACTGGAGGGTTTATCAACAGAATCATAGAAAACTGAAAGCAAAGAGACAGGACTGAAAAAAAAAAAAAAAACAACAACCACAGAACAGAAGCCAAGAACTATGGGACATTATAAAAGGTGTAACATACACATAACAGGAATACCAGAGAGAGAAGGAAAAAAGAACTGTAAACATATTTAAAGGAATAATGACTTTACAGAATTGCCCCCAGCAGCAAGGAAAAAAGAAAGCAAATACAAACAATTCGAACTACATCAAACTGAAAAGTCTGCATAGTGAACAGACTATACCTAACAAGAAGAGACACCACACTAAATGGGAAAAAAGTATTTGAGTACCATACATCTGACAAGGGGCTGGTATCAAAGATGAACAAAGAACTCATACAACTCAACAAAAATAAAACAAATTAATAATGGAAAAAGGAGCTAAGTAGGTTTTTCTACAACGAAAACATACAGATGGCCAACAGACACGTGAAAAAAATGTTCATCAACACTTATCATGAAGGAATGCAAATAAAAGCACTGTGAGATAACACCTCACACCAGTGAGAATGGCCCATGTTAAAAAAAGACCAGAAACACCAAATGCTGGTGAGGGTGTGAAGAGAAGGCTCAGACTAAGTAGCAACCAACATTATATGAAACTTCCAGAACCTCCACACACTGCTGGTGAGAATGTAGACTGGTTCAATCCCTATGGGAAATTGTGTACAGGTTGCTCAAGACTTAAAATGGATCTGCTATATGACCCAGCAATCCCACTTGCAGGTATCTACCTAAAAAGTACAAAACCTAATTTGAAAGAAAACCTGCATGCTCATGTTTCTAGCAGTACTAGTTACAATAGCTAAGATAAGGAAACCTAAGTGCCCCCTAAATATATACATAATACTATTCAACAATCAAAAAATATAAACTCATGACATTTCAAGCACCATGGATATACCCAGAAAGGTTGATGTTAGGTGAAGTAAGTTAGAAGGAGAAATGTAAATATTACCTTGTCTGACTTGTCATCCTGAAGTCAATAATAGATTCCTTAAATAAACCAACCCCTTCAATATCGATGACATCATCCACATCAGGCTCAGTAGCAACCAACATTATGGGAAACATCCAGATCCCATCTGTTATGCATTCTAATTTCAATGTAATTTGAGTCCTTGAATAGAAAAAGAGATTATAAAAGATACTACAAGAAAGCAAGTTCAAAGAATATAACAGATCCACATCTAAGATGAAATGTAAGTAAACCTTGTAATTTCAGCAAAAATGGCCAAGATTTTTAATTCTTAAAAATACAGATGACTGTTAATTACATTTTAGGAATAATTTTTTAGGTTACAGTTTATATTTTGTTGGGCATTTAATCTATTCTCCAGGTTATTTACTAAGAAACAATAATACATGCAAACTGACTGTAGATTTTCTTTGGCCATCATAGAAAATTATATCTGAGAATCTATGTAAACATTGGTAAATGGACACAAGTGTTCAACTGCATGTGGGAGGGGGTCTCCTGTTCAAAATTAAATACTATCAAAAAGTATTTTCAATTCTTTTTTAATTTCGAAAATTTATATTCTCTGTGAACACTTACAAAGGTCCATCCATATGATTGATTTCAAACTAAAAATGAATTGCAATTGACAAAGACCACAAACACCCTATATGATAATATAGAATTCAGTGGCAGTTGAATTAATGAAGACAGTGGAGATAGTCTTTATAAACATGGATCATGAAGAAGAGGGGAAGGACGAGGCAACAGAGATTGAGGAATGGTTGGCTACCTGTTCTCTTGCTTAGGGTGGAAATACATGGAGTGGCTGCAATATCCTATGTCAGGACTAGACAAAGAAATTATAATCTTTCTTCTTAAAACTATCAGAACAGTTTTGGGGATTCTCACCTTCTTGAGATTATAAAACTACTCTATTATTTAGCGAGTGACTGGGCAAAATCTCACCAAATTTGAAAACTGCAATTCTACTGTTCGTAATTTCCCCCAGAAATACACCTCTACATACTGAGAAATGGTGTGTATGAGGATATTCATTGCCATATTATTTATGCATAGGACACATGCCAAAAATTTACAAATATACCTTTAGGAGGGAACTGGTAGCAAGAAAGTATAGTGCATTGAAATAGTGGAATATTATTCAGTGTAACTTAACCAATGACTAAAATAAATTTAAATTATTCCAAAATGTAAACCCTATACTGGTATTTCATTCACATTCTCCTGTCTTAGTAAATGAAACTGTGTTCTTCTGAGCACTATTTCCAGAGTTCTGTTTTAATAACTGGTCTTCCTATTGCTACTATTGCTCTCTCTCAAAAAGACAACTTCTAGATTTTTCAAGCTTTGCTGTATTTTATTTATTTAACTCTGAACCTACCTTTCGATTATTAGACCATCCCAGATTCTTTGAAGCAAAGAACAGTGAAGTAAATGAATATATACATATGTATACAGTACTTAATTTTATGACTCATGTACACAAGTTGCTCTAAATCATTTTCACAAGCATTAATCTTTTAGTCATTCCCTATTGTTTCTAGCATAAACCACAAATTTGTAGGCTCATGTCACTTTTATGACTGTTCAGATAGGTCCAGGTGCAATTCTCAGATCTTACTTTCTCTTCTGTTCTCTGTATTAGAGAAACACTGAACTCCTCAATATTAAGTGCTCATGCCAAATATTTTTCTCTCCCATGAACTCTGGTTTATTTTTCCTCTGTGAAATAAGATGCTAGGTTTTCATCCCATATGTCTCTTTAACTGGTGAAAAGTTCCAGGAGTAAAACTGAACTAAGAAAATTATTTCTAAAGATTTTCTAAGGAAAATGATATCTATATTTTTTCTATTTTTTAAATGGTTAGATTTATGTTAAGTTAGAAGTTATCAAATTAAATCATATCACTATTAACTACTCCTGATATCTTGTTTTTATACGAGGCTTATTTTTACTAAAGGAAAAAGTCAAGGCCTTTGGGAATAATAACTTTTTTTTTTTCTTTTGAAACACTACTTAGGACCTTGACTGTTTTTATGTACAGCGTTATTATGTGAAAGGATGAGTGTGAAAAATTACTTTGTATTTGTTGTTATGACATAATGTTATTATTTTCCTTTCACCAAAACATAGTTTATCCTTTTTAACATATCAAGTAGAAAGAGAACTGAATGGAATAGTTATTTCAATTATCTATGTAAAGCACGGTTAGGGGACAATTATTTTCTTCTTTTTCATAATTTAGAACTTCTGGTTATCCACATTTAATTGTGTGCCTTGTAGTAAACCATTTCAAATTAATAGAGGAGGAATGGAGAAAGTGAATGAATACATACAAATAAACACAAAATAGAGTTATTACATCAAAACATCACACAACACTCATGGATATTTATGAATCATGCATACAGATTGTCCTAAATAACTTTCTCAAGGATTAACCAAGAAGCTCTAAACCCACAAAATTTTGAGTGAATATAAATTCTCATTGTTTCTTTTCAGACTCACCAATGGTTACACATTCCTACTGTGGTTGTTGCTGGTAATTTCCATGTCACCAAATTAATATAACACATACTTAAATACCAAATATACTAAAAATATACACAGACAGATATAAAAATGAAATAAAATAGAGGATAATGTCAAGTATCTATAGTGTACCTTTATTGTACCTTTATTTTTATTATTGTTTCCCGATGATAATCCTGGTATCTTTTAATTACTAGACAACACAGTCAAAGCAACTTTTAATTCATGCATAGTTATATCACATACACAGTTAAACTATAGAAGAGCACAACTAATATGTTACATTTTTTTTTTTTTGGCCAGGCTATATTTTGTACTCTGTGTATATTATGGTTCTGATCAGATCTCACATTAAAATATAAAACATATTTGAAGTGAGACCTTGCATACAGTATCTGCAGGTGCTAAGTATTAGTTGTCTAAGAAATAAATACAGTGACACTAGATGAGGTTTCCCAGAGGATATTCAAAGCTCACTATTCTAAAATTACAATATTATCCTCTCAAAACTTACAACAGGATGAACAATATTATGGTTTGGGGTGGTCAAAATGAGAGAAATTGCAAAACAACATAGGTGAGGCTCACGGTCATCATTGAAACTAGGCTCTGAGAAACAGAATTAAGAAACATCATTTTCTCTTTTATTAATTCAACAGATCTCTTTTGTTAGTATTACACTCTAATGACATAGGTAGGGAAATAATTTATGAAGGGTATCTTAGATGTCTAATTATTTGATGTACTTTGTGGCTAAAAATAATCTAACCCAAAATATCTACCTCAGCAGCATCAAAAAAGTAGTATGATACCAAAATGTAGAATGATGGCGATAGGAATAAAAAGTATTTAATACAATAATTAGTCTAAAAGTGTAATAATGTTTAAAGGGAGGGTGTTAAAAGGTTTACCTTAATGGTTTCCTTGGTGAAAATATCAAACTGAAGACCAATGTTATCTTTCTAGTTTCAATACAGTAAGATTTTTGCATAAAATATAAAGTCACACAAGATTCCATTTTAGACTTCATTTCTTCAGATTCAAATTGAACCTCATATTCAAATTCACGTTTTATTGGATGATCTAGGAAAATAAAAAAAATGAATTTTAATTAAAATTAGTATGTATCAAATATCAATTTTATGCAATACTAATCATGAACAGATATTTAGAGAAGGGAATGGATATATGTTATTTAGCTTTGTGTTAATAATATCTAGTACGTTCAGGTAAATAACAGTATTTAATATAATCTTGTTAAAAGGTAAATACATAAATGAGAATAAAAAATAAGTGAAGACCCCGCGGGGATTACAATTGAGATGGGAAAGAAAAATGTACAAAATGATGTAAAAATAAACGGTTGTAAAATAAAAAAAAAAAGTGAAGACAATTTCCACTCTCCTAAACCTTTAAAATTTACAAAGCAAATTTACAAAGCAAAAACCAGCCAAATGAAAATTAATTATTTGCTATAAAAAACAAATATAATGCACTCTCTATGATGAATTAATAAAACCTATAGACATGTAATTTGTAAAGAAAGATTTGAATTAAGTTTAAGTAATATAAAACAGCATCCTAATCTATTAGGGAAGGATTTTCACCTTCTGGTATAGTTTGATAAAAGGGAGTTCTTCAAGTTTTAGTCTTGGATATTGTAGATAATATGATTAACCACATTTTCTTTAACGTTACCAAAAGGAAGTTATATGTGAAACTTCCCTTGTTAGGTATATGTGAAAAAATCTTAGATCCAGGAGTGGCATGTAGAAGAGAAGCACAAATATGTATTATATTTACTCTCCATTTACATATAAGGAACCCAAGTGTCAACCTATGAAGTTTGTTGCATAAGTATCATAGAAGCACCGTCAATAAACCACAATTTGCCCTGACTCACATCTGAGCCAATTTTGAAGTTTGTTTCTGGTTGGATTCACAAAACTGATGGTCACCTTTCTCTAAGCAATACCAAAAGAAATCAGCTCACCTTTCGGTAACAGTTAATTTTAACTTCTGCAGAACCCTGAAAATAGCTAGGCTATAACTGGTACAGATCGCATTTAGTGATTCTCAGCAAACCATATTAATAACTGACTGACCTACATCCTCTCAGATCTCTTTTCTTTTTGCACACATGAAAAGAAATCTTTGACCTTGTGAATAAATGATTTTCATCCTGCTGACAAAAGCAGCAGTTGTTGTTGCTATCAGTAACATTTTTTCTGTAGCAAAACCAAAGTGTCTACATATACTGTGTCTATTTGTCCTGGAAATAGGATATAAAGTTGTTCCAGAGAAGCCATAATCCATACAGAAAAACAACATTTAAAAATTTTAGAGTGTTTAATGGGAGATGAAATTTCTACTGCATTCAAATAACATAATATTTTTTAAAAGCAAATACTGTATGTAGTTGAGATCTGCATCTGTTTCTGCTTAATTATTGAAGCCTTTATGGGAATGGTTGTGTCAAAATGAAGATAGGAAATGAGAAGCTAAATTTAGTTTCGGAAGAATAGAACTCCCTGTGGGGATCTGCATTATGGATGTCCTAATTCCAATTATAAGAAGATCCACTAGTGCAAAATAGAGATAACGAGTATCAGCTAGAGGACTGGGATGAAGCAAGTAGGAACCTTATATTTTGCAAACTATACATAACCTGCTTCCTGTAACTCAAATACATTTATATAAGCACCTAAAAATGAAGCATAGAATTAGGTTGGACCAGCACATGAGAAATTGCCATTCAGCTTTATGCCATACAGCTAGTCTATTAGTGTCCATATTTTATTTGAAAACTCATACTACCAAGTAAGAAACATGCCTTTTGTTAAGTTCCTATCATAGGTTGACTAAAATTGATCTCATGAAAAATATAGCTCATACCATTGAGAATATCTGCATGTTTCTAAAACAAGTATCTAAATAAATAGAAGTAATATTCCTATAGAACACATTGTACTTTCAAAGTTACAAGTCAGAAGTCCTTGGGACTCCTGTAACAATGTTTTCAATATAGGAGAAAAAAACTGTCCTTTTTGAAAGCAAAGTTTGAAAAAAAACAAGTATCTATTTACCTTTTATAAAATTTTACAATATGTAATGGTGGTCACAGAATCATCTTAAAACATCTCCTATTTTCAATTATCTTTCATTTTCTGAAGGTTTTCATGAACCTGAAGATTTTGCCTCAAACTTCTAGCTATTGCTAAGTTCACAAATAATTGTTTCTGTAGCCAGTGTCCAAATATACATTGAAAACAATATTTTCCTTATATATTCCATTTCTTTAGCCATCAATGAATATTAACTAATTTCCTGAAAATTTCAGCTCTTTTCCTCAAGGAGCTATGACTGAGAGGAAAGAATTGCCAATGAACAGCCAGTGACACAACTCGTTTAAAAAGTATTACTGTGCTAGGGGACTGTGGTGATGGTGCATGGGTGAACTGGGAGAGGAAATTCTATGGTGACTACACCTGAGGGAACAAAAAACATTGTTAAAAAATGAATGGTGGTGTAATATATATATGTGTGTGTGTATATGTGTGTGTGTGTGTGTGTGTGTAAATGAATTTCATAAAAAAAAAAAATGTTGCTTTCGGTTTCCCTAAGGATCCAGTGCAGAAGGTTCATGGTTGAGAAGAGGCACTGGAGAGGATGGGGTGTCATTCTCCACAGAGCAATTCCTGTAGTTCTCTGCCCTGTGAGGAAGTACACAGGCACATGAAGAGGTGAGCCACCAATCTCTCTTCAGGATGCAGACATTTCCACTCAAAAGATAAGATGAACCTGGCGTCCACACAGTAAATGATGTAGCAGCCTTCAAACCTTCCTTCTGGTTTCCAAACTCACAGCTTTCTGTCTGGCCAATATGACAGGGCAAGTAAGAGTGAGCTGGATATGGAGATGGAGAAATCATCTTCTCAGTATCAGAGCAGCATGTGAGAATTTTCCGTGGTAGAAAAAAAGCTTGAGCTGTTTGCGGTAGAACTTGAAGTGGGTTGAACAAAGGGAGTGGGAAGAACTTCTCAGGAGATTATAAAGTAGGCGGGAGCATGCAGGGCATGGCGAGAATTTAGCATATGTAAGAATGATGGGAGAAGGGCCCTCCCTGGTGGCACAGCAGGTGAAAGCACAGCACAAAGAAGCTTAAGCTACTTCCTCATGAGTTCGATTCCAGCCTGCCCGGAGGATATCCACATGGCGAGATCCACATGGCACGGCAGACCTCTCCTGACCCACTTGCTGCTCCCCTCAGCAGTGTACTTCGTCGATCTGCCTGTTCTGCTCCCCACTCTGTCTCTGGTAAATCCTCTCACCCTCCGCATCTCTGGCCTATACCCCAGTTCTGTATGAATAAATAAATAAATCTTTAAAAAATAAAAATAAAAAATAATAAAAAATAAAAAAAGAGAATGATGGGAGAAAAGTGAATGTTTTTTTTTTTAAATATGGGAGTGATGTGCTTATTTAATGGTAAATTGAGCAAAAGGGGTTCAGAAGAGTAGTCAGTGAATTTTTTGCAGTAGTTTAAGCCAGGTGGTGGGAGATTAAGATCAAGAACTGCTCTGGTAAAGCATAAGCTATGTGAGTAGTCGTGGTTGGTAACTAGAATACCTGAGCTGATCATGTGAGTACCACATCCCAGTCCTTACACACAGACACAATATTTATCAAAAAAGATTTCAGAGAATCTCAGAGTATGAGATATATGTGTGTGTGTGTGTGTGTATATACATATACATACACATATACATGCACATAGCAGGTACTCAGAAAAGGCAGTTTCACTGAACCTTAGCTGGGATTGTTCTATTCTCATTAACATTATAATGAAGTATGGTTCAATGAAACAAGGTTATTTGAGGACCTAGCTTTGCTACATGTCATTTAACTTAAAGTCAGTGTCTAAGAACTTATGGACAACATTAAGTGAGCAATTACTGTACATAAAAACAATGTTAGAAAATAATTGTAATAAAAATGGTAATCATCATTTGTGAATGGTTGCAAAGTCATTATACTGAATAAAAAGGGCATGTCTCCCATGTAGATATTGCCCCTGCATAATTTCCATTTAACCTAATGCTTCTACCACAATGCAAAGAAATCAAGGGACTATCCTGTTCAGAAACTCTTGTTACTTGGATGAATTTTCTCAGGAAAAAGACTGAATTTAATCAATGTGGAAGACGTGGGTCATTTTTAAAAAGAGAACACACTATTAAAAATGATAATCATAAAGTGTTAATTATAAAATTGTTTTTCAAATATGCTTCACAATATGTTTATTTACAACATATGCTTTAAATAGATTATTACGGCCCTCCCTGGTGGTGCAGCGGGTTAAAGCACAGCACTAAGAAGCTAAAGCTACTTCCACATGAGTTCAATTCCCGCCTGCCCCGGAGGTGACCACATGGCTTGGCAGACCTCTCCTGACCAGCCCGCTGCTCCCCTCAGCAGTGTACTTCATCGATCTGCCTGTTCTGCTCCCCACTCTGTCTCTGGTGAAGCCTTTCACCACCCCTGAGCCTCTGGCCTGTACCCCAGTTCTGTATGCACAAATAAATTAAAAAAAAAAACACTTAAAAAAATAAATAAATACATTATTACACTATACAGAGTTTGATCTCTACAAAATACCTTCTCATAGGAAGCCCATCAAAAAGCCTCAATTATGGAGAAATGAAAATAAAAGTACAATAAACATTATTATCCTTTCCCTAAGTTTTTGGAAATTCCTCCTTATTAATAATAATAATGCCCTGGCATAGCACAATAATCTTATAAAGAATGAGTGGAATACAAAAGACAAATTTGAAATAGAATGAAGACAACAAGGTATTCAAAGAAAACAGAGGATGCTGGAAAATACCTAAAGCTATTTTCCTTGAACAGATAATTAAGACTGTGCCATCTGTGCACTCTTATTATTTTTATAAAATTGCATATCCTTTTGAAGGGGTATTTCATTTACATACATTTGCTTCGCTTTCATAAGGTCATTTAATAGACCAAACATTTTGATTAACTTAAAATAACTGCATTTTCCTCTGATATGACTCCAA